GTGTACGACGGGGCGAATGCACCCTGCAAATCGTTGGAGATCTTGTCTACGAGTAGACCTTGACCGATGAGTTATTATCAGCTGAGTACTTAGACCTAATCCTTGACGGATCTATCAGTACATCATCGGCAGTGCATCGTAATAGGATTGGTGGTCCCTTAGCCCTACTTGGCAATCTGTCAACGAAAAATATCTAAAAAATTGGCTTACCCGTCTCACTTGCGGCTCGCTTGCCCCCTCTGACCAGGCTGCTGCTGATGCTTACGCTGTCATATTCGCCATCTTGTTGACGTCGTTCCCAGCCCTATTAGAGGAAAACTCGTTTAAGAGGAGATTGTTGAAGGAAAAACGAATGTTCCGCTCAAATCTGAGGACAGAAATGTTTCGAGTTCTAAAGAAATTTTCGACAGCATGACTTTGACTCCACTTTGTTAGGAGCAATCAGTGTTATTAAACTTGAAGTGCACAGGAATGGAAATTTTTGAAGCCAGATCACAACCAGGTGCCTGTAACTTTTTAGAAAAATGGCGCAAAAACAAGGCAAAACGTTGTTCCCAGCAGCTGTACATGGCGTCAATTATTAGCAAAAGAAATCTGGGAAAATTGCAGCAAATTTCTAGAGTGAAGATATCCCACGAGTAAATTGTCAACAATGTTTTAGACTAGACTAAAATCAGGCTGTTTACAATTTCATAGATTTAACTTTTATACTCACAATAAGCCAAAAATCTAGAGCAAATTCATTTTCGGGTGGACCTCATTCATCTAAAACCCCAAAAGTAAATAGCTAACAATTCTTAAACTGAACTAAATTAAGCTGCTAACAATTTTGTGGACTACGAAGTAACTTGCTAACAATTTTTTAGATTAGACTACCCAAGCGACTACTATTATTCTCTGGACCAAATGACATCACCATTTTGGATGAGGGCTTCTTTGCATCAGAGAATGCCTTTTTTCGCTAAAAAAAGGAAGATTGGGAGCAGGGTACGGATAGTTATTTTTCTACAAATCCATTTCCTTAATTTCAAAACACTTTTCTTGAGCAAGGAAAAAAAAGTTTGCCAGAGATTACGCATTTGTTTTCTAAATTAAATTTCTTTTTTGAATTCTGATGCAGTCAACATCAAAGGGCACGAGGAAAACAAAATCTGATAGGAACTTCTCAACTTTTCAATATTTTTCAAACAGAATTTTTATTGACGAAGTGTTAAAAATTAAAAAACATCAAACGTACTTTAGGTGCTCTGTCAATCTGATCTTCTCCCTCAAGTGAGTTATTTTCCTCACTTTGTGGACTAGCCGGCGATCGTTCGCCAGTAGAGCCTTCCTGTAAGTACCAAAATTTATTTCAAATCTCTAAATTGATTATGAGTAACTTATTACCTTTATAGCTTTCAATCCAGGCACTTTCTCGTCCATTTTGAGGTAGATCGAATCTGCATATGCATGGAAACAGCAGCGAACCAGTGCATTTGCTGCTTTATTGTTTGTGCAGATAAAACCGTGGCACTCCAATACCTGAAGTGAAAGAAATGGTGGACTTGTGCGAAGATACTGTAGGATTACGGTAACTGCAGATATTTCCACAAAAAGTCATATTTTCGGCATTATCTCGTTGTTGGAGGATTTTATTGTGCATGGACTTGAGTGAGATTACTGTATGATTACGGTAACGTGATTGTAAGCAATTACAGTACTACTCTCGCTTATATTCATTTTTAATTTTCAAAAGTTGACAACGATCAACTTTTTGTTCTCATCTGTAACACACACGATTTTCAGATTACTGTAATATTTTAGCTTTTACACTAACAACGAGCTTCTTAAAAAATTTCCATTGTTTTGCTATTAATATTCTTTGATCATTTATTAGACACAAAGTTATCGACAGAAAAAAACTTGGTTAAAAAAACTTCTTCAGAATGCCTAACCACAGCTTCCGAGTTCCAAACGCTCGTTTGAAATGCCTATGATCGAAAACACATTCGTGATATCTCATGCGTAGAAGGTCGTAGAGGTTTTCTTTCGATTTCGGATTTTTCTTGTAAGAAAAGAAAAAAGCAGAGCGAGCATACGTCCGTGGTTAGACAGCACGGCACCTGGTGTACTATACTACAGAACCAGAAGCTATTCTTCTTGTCGAAAAATAATAAGTCAACGGCTTAAACTAAGAAGTCGCTGGTTAACGGAACAATTAATGATATTTAACCTTTCAACAACATCCAAAATCTGATCTTATAAACCTTGTCTTTTTGATGCAAAAGCTAAATCACAACTAAAATTCCCAATCACACCGTATAACTGGCAAAAGAGATTGTTGAAATTTTTTATAAAATTCATGAAAAAACAAATGAAATTCTCCCCC